GGGGGAGAAAGAGAGAAAGGAAGGAGGGAGGAGGGGAGAGAGAGAGAGAGAGAGAGAGAGAGAGAGAGAGAGAGAGAGAGAGAGAGAGAGAGAGAGAGAGAAGAGAGAGAGAGAGAGAGAGAGAGGGACACGACAAACAGACAGACAGAGACAGACAGACAGACAGACAGACAGACAGAGAGAGAGAGAGAGAAACAGTATAATAAAAAAAGATGAAGAGAAAATGCTCCCGACACTTCAACGGCTATCGAAATGCCCGCACGTAGTTCGCAGCTGAAGTGAAGGAAACAATTGCAGGTCGTAATCAACGGAATCGAGGCTTTCTGGGCGACGCAATTATCGGCCGCAGATTGCAACCACTCCTCCCACCTCTTCTCTCTTTGTCTCTTTGTTTGTCGGGAAAGGGTTCCTGCACCGCGCCAAGGCATTGCAACAGGTAACTTCAGTTTTAAGAGTTTACAGCAGCTCGTTCATAATTGACATATAGTATTTGGTATTATGCAGCATTTATTCTGAATTATCAGTTATTCTGGATATTATAGTTATTTAGCAGTTATTCTGAATTATCAGCAGTTATTCTGGATAGTTAATAGTTATTCTGAAAAGTTAACAGCAGTTATTCTGAATAGTTAACAGCAGTTACTTTGAATAGTTAAGTTATTCTGAACAGTTAACAGCAGTTACCCTGAATAGTTATGTTATTCTGAATAGTTAACAGCAGTTAGTTTTGGATATCTTAAGAGCAAATACTCTGATTTTTCTTGTAGCAGTCATTCTCACTATCTTATTTCAGTTATCCTGAACAATTTACAAAAGTTTATATGAATAACTTTAAACAGCCAGCCTTGGCAGTTTAGAACAGTTTACTGAATAGTTTGCAACTGTAACTGATCCTTTTACAATAGCTTATCAACAGTTTAAAACAGTTAACCTAAACAGCTGGCAACTGTCACCCTCCCCACATCCCTTATATACGTCATAGCATCTTCTTTATATAAGTTGATTTTCAAATATTATTTGTGCTTCAGCTGTTACTTTAACAATGAAAAAACGCCATGTTATCAATTCTCAGAACTTAAATGGAAAAATGTTTTTCTCTGAACAGTCGTTTATCAAAATATGAATTCACGGAATTTATAACGTGGGATACAACGAAGCTTCGATGCGAGAGGGAAAATTAAATTATTTTGCCATTAATTCCTTGCCGTATTTCACTTCATCTGTGTACTTTCGTTATTGTGTTGGATTTCTTTATTTTAATATGTTACGTGCGTTATCCCTTGCTGAAGGTTCCGACATATCTAATTTATATCTTTTCCAACTACGTACTTTTAGGGTGAAACCTAGAGTTACTCGTAGTAGCCTAATAAATGATTATTTACCTAATTGTAATACACTTTTGAAGGCTCGGTTTTATAGTGTAGTCTTCATATGGTCTGAAGAAAATCCAACAAGTGTGTTTTCGTTTTTTTTAGCTTATTGCGTCCCACAACACTGATCCCACATCCTGTATTTATACTTGAGCAGGGCGGGTCCAGAGAATTTTCTGGTGGGGGGCACAGGGGGTAACAACAATAAATCTGAGGGGGGGGGGGCGCCCAAAAGAAACAAAAAATTAAGACTGCCCACTTCAGTACTTATATTGTATAGTTATACATTGTTTATGTTTTCATCTTGCTGTGTATTATATATTATATATATTATATATTATATTATATAATATATATATATAATATAAAGGGTCAGTGACTCTTGGGTGGGGGGGCACACGGGGTGGCCAATCAGATTGCAGGGGGGGGTCGGGGGCCGCCTCTGTACTTTAGCTCAGTTTATTGCAACTTCTACATCCTGTTACAGCGTTTGGAATTTGTTCATATAACAAACTTTCGTATTATTAACCTCGCAAGACCTCCACTCAAGGTTTATATAAGTACTTCTATAGACCTTGCCTCCGCCGACTCTCATACTAAACGGGCAAAGATACGCGTCACTGTAAACATGTCAAGAATCTGAGACCAGCTGTGTTATTGTGATGTTGACATGTCTTTTTTTTCGGTGTTAACGTTCATCGCCATTGGTTGCACACATTTTCGTGTTTGCCTTTTTTTCATTAGTGATTATAATGTACGGAATTAATGTATATATACATACGATGAACAGAAAAATAACGTTAATTTCGGATTGGCAAATAAGTGGGTCCTGTGCATGCAAATGTGATTGCAACCATATGTTAGTGAGTTTATTGACTGCAATTGCATTTCGAGATAATGCTCTTCATAAAAAGTTATTCAATACTACGTCACTGATCATTACTGTTATTATTGTTATTTTTAATGTTATTATCTTTATTATTGCAATTATTATTTTTTATAGTTATATTCTATCTTTATTATTGTTCTTCTACTTATTATTAATATTATCATTATTATTTCAATTATCATTATTATTATTATTATTATTATTATTATTATTATTATTATTATTATTATTATTATTATTATTATTATTATCATCATCATCATCATTATTACTATTGTTGTTGTTGTTATTATTATTATTATTACTATTATTATTATATTATGACATTAATATTAGTATTATCATCATCATTATTATCAGTATCATTCATTATCATCATCATCATCATCATCATCATCATCATCATTATTTATATCACTATTAGGATCATTACTATCAACGTTATCTTTATTATCATCATCATTGTTATTGTTATCATTATTATTATTATTATTATCATTATTATTATTATTATCACTAGTACTGTTATTATTATCATCAATCATATTGTTGTCATCAGTATTGGTATTGCTGTTGTCGTTTTATTACTATCATTCTTATTATATATCTTTATTATCATTTCTGAAAAGGTATGAATGAGAGTGAATAATACATGGACAGGTATTTCTGACGAAGATATATTCGAAACCGATCAAATATATCTTTTGTATTTCGAAGATATTCATTCTCATTCGTACCTTTTCCAAAAATGATAATAAAGATAATAATAAAAATGACAGTAATATGATATTCATTCTCATTCGTACTTTTTTCTGCATTTGTCAACATGAATACGGTTCATTATCATTACTGTTATTATTGATATTATTACTATTCTTCATATTTTTTTTATCATTATTATTATTTATCATCATTATTATTATTATTATCATTATTACTATTATTATCATCATTATTTTTATTACCATTATCATCATTATTATTATTACTATTATGATTGTTGTTGTTGTTATGATTACTGTTATCATTATTATTACTATTATCATTATCTGATATAATTGTTATTATCATTATTGTCATTACTCGTTCTCCTCCTCATCGCTGTTATTACTATTACTTTATTATTATATCATCATTCATTTTTTTTTTTTTTTCATATTATTATTATTCCTATTATAATCATTATTATTCCTATTATATCATTTATTATTATCATCATCATTATCATTACAATTATGATTATCGTCATTATTCTCATTACTATATATTTTGTTATTATCATTCATCATTATTGTGATCATTATAATTGTTTCAATTATTCTTATCATTATTATTATTACTATCATTATTATTCTCATTGCTATCATTATTTCTTTTTATGTTATCATTATCATCATTGTTATCCTCATTAATTTCATATAGTTATTATTGTTGTTTGTTACTATCATTATTATAACAATTTTATCATTGCCATTGTAATTATCAGAATTACCATTATTACCTCCGCACATTGGTAACATTGGTTAGCTAGTTTGTTTAGTTATTTGTTTTTGGTTTTGTGAGAGTGAGAATTCTTCATTGCATCATTGGTCCTTTTGCATTGGCGGAAGTAGGCCGTGTCTGAGTGCTTCTGGTTGTTATTATAATTGTTATCAAATTGATGATTATCATTATCATCAGTTTTATCATCATTATCATTGTCATTATTATTATTACTATTATCAATTCAATTATTATTATTACTATCAATATTGTTATTCTGTTATTATCGTTATTATAATTATTATGATCAGTACTATTATTATCAGAAATAGAATTAGAATTATCAATATTATATGTATATTTTTTTCAATATTCATCTCTATTGATGTCATTATTATTATGATTATCATTCTTTTTATCATTATCATTGATTCTTTTCATAATTGTTATTACTATCGTTGTCAGTATCATCATTATCATATCATTATTATTATTATATGTTTTTTCTATCATATTTTCATGATGATTATCGTTACGATTTTATCATTATTGTTGATGTTATTTTATTATGATAATAATCGATATGATAACAATCATTATTATCATTATTATTGTTATTATTACTATAATTATTATTGTTTTTGTTATCATCAGTATTGTTATGATTAATGTGATTATCATCATTATTATTATTATGATGATGATGATCATTATTGTTACCAATATCGTTATTATTGTCATTATTATTATATCATTATTATTTCAAGAGAAAAGAAGAAAGAGAGAGTAGAGGGAGAGAGAGAGAGAGAGAGAGAGAGAGAGAGAGAGAGAGAGAGAGAGAGAGAGCGAGAGAGAGAGAGGAGAAGAGAGAGAGAGAGAGAGGAGAGAGAGAGAGAGAGAGAGAGAGAGAGAGAGAGAGAGAGAGAGAGAGAGAGGAAGAGAGAGAGAGAAGAATGAGAGAAAGAGAGAGAGAGAGAAGAAGAGAGAAGCGCCGTGAGCAAACGAGATCACGCACCTCATACTTAACAGAAAGTTGCACGCAGTCAGTCCCTTTCCAGACACAGGAGAGAGTGTATCAATTTCCTTCTCTCTCCTCAGCACAGAAACTTTGAAGCAAGTTATAATAATAGCAATAATAATAGTAAAATAATAATTAATAATAATAACAATATAATAGTAGTAATAATAATAATATCAATAATAATAATAGTAGTAATGATAATAATAAACATTTACGTAGCTGTCAAGTGACAAGATTGTGGCTTGAAGTGGATCTAGATAATAGAGAGAAATTGTGTATAATGGTTAATATTCTTTGGTTTATAACTATTACGTATTGTGTCGAATATTCACTGACTTGAAGGAGGAAGGAAGTGCCTATAATACGTGAGTTACTTTGTTTTTTGTTCCTTATTGCTGTCTGTGTGTCTGTTATATATATGTAATATCTATGTGCATATTTATATCTATCTTTTTGTACGTAGAAATTGGTATTGATGATTAACTTTTGGGAGGTTATCATTATAATTGATAATTAACTTTTATTGGAAAGTCATCGTTAATTGTTTCAGATTAAGCTCTCATAAGGTCTTATTGAATTTTGAAGGGGATTTCCGATTTAAGACTACATAAACGCTTTTGTTTAATTAGTAGAATGATTGAAATTGAAATGAAATCTTATTTTGTATCTGATTCGTGTTGTCAAATGCCTTCGCTCGAATTTCAGTCTAATTCCTTCGATGGAGACGCCGAGGGGCGCCGCCGCGGGGGGCCTCTGAGCGACGCCCTTCCGCTCGCGCAGATGGAGCAGGTGCCGCTGGAGGCGCTGTGGTGCCAGTGCCAGGGCAACGCCAGCGCCACGCCGCACCTGCACCAGATCCACGCCCAGGTGGCCCAGATGCACGCGGACGCCGCCCACCACGCCCTCTGCTACGTGGGCGTGGTCGTCTCGCTCTACCTGCTGGGCCTCGCCGCCATCATCGGGCGGTCGGGGCGGTCCGAGCGCCAGGCGGCGGCGTCGGCGCTCGCCTCCTGCCTCTCCGGCGCCCTCGCCTCCGTCGGCCGCCTCGCCGCCTCCGTCGGGAGCTCGAGGGCCGCCCCCGCGGCGCCCACGGCCGTCCGGGAGCAGCCGCTCAGGCCGGCCATCGCGCTCTCCCCGTGCCCCTCCAGCAGATGCCGGGGCGCCGCCCCCCCCGCGACTACTCGTCAATAA